ATGACACCACGTTGATGACATCACGTTGATGACATCACTGAGAGGAAGCGTTCAAACTGCAGCTTCCTGCATCATCATTAGTGTCATTAGTCAGGGACGTGGACGCCGCCGTGTTAGTAAGGATTAATGCTAATACCTGGTTTACCATGTATTTCAGTAGGGCCTCCAGGAAGTAGGCGGTGAGGTCTTCCTGGTTCTTGTCTCCTGACTGGGGAGGAACCAGTGGAGTGACTTCCTCTGGTGTCACCTGAGCTGCAGCGGCACAAACCACAGAGAAGGAGTTACGTTTCATTCACTCTGACATCACGGTGTGAGCTAGTGTTTCTCAGACTAACTTTCTGTCAGACTCAGCGGGGGGTTGATCAGATTGTCAAGGGTGCGCGGCGTTCCACTGCAGAGCGGAGCTGGGAAACCGGGAATCAAACAGGCAAACATGCACAGCTGCTCACGCCCCGCGTGGCTCTGTAAGGCCTGCATCCACAGCAGGAAGAGACGCACGCCCTCACGACGGATCTGCAACCACAACGCAGCAGACGGTTTTAGACAGACGTCCGACTGAGTTACTGAGCTGATCAACAAACGTACCTTCAAAGAGTTCCCAGTGTGTAACAGCTTCTTTAGAATCAACCCTGAAGAGAGAGAGAGAGAGAGAGAGAGAGAGAGAGAGAGAACTCAGTCTGGTTGGTCAAAGAAAAAATCATTCAAATATTAGGAGAATACACTTCAAAATGAAAGTCAAAATCTCTGAGTACAAGTAGAAACACAACAGAGAGTACCATTCTACAGATTAATTCTTCATCTTGTACTTCTAGTACTAGTGTACTACAAAGTACTACAGTATATGCAGTATCAGTGAAGTGAACACATTTGGAGAAAAGTACCGATGCTGTGGAACTGCCACCGATTCTGGATTCTCTCAGGCAGGAGTTGAAGGATTTTCTGTGGTAGAGAAGAGGACGATTATCATCAACAAAGAAAACTGGAAACATTTAGAGTTGGAAAGAAATCATTAGTGTTAAAGATGTAAAAAAATCCAAATCTTTTTTCAAACCGTGTCTGTTAGAAATGAATCTTCTCCTGATACCACCTAGTGGTCACTGAAGGCTATAGAAACAAGTCTAACGAACCAGACTCTGATTTTCTTGTCGTTACCTCGAAGATGAAGAGGATCGAGTCCAGCTCCTCCCTCTGTGACTTGTGACCTGTTGTAAGGACAAATCTGGTCAGTAATAACCAGTGTCTGTTGATGATACGGGACCATGGTTCTGTCTCAACACCTGAACGTCTCTTAGCCTACGTCGGACCTGACGGCATACTGCCACCTACTGGACTGGAGTGTCATTCATTCATCCCTGTGTGTGTTCATTAAACTCTTTGCCCGTGGGTCAGATGTACCTTTTTGTTTGAGGCTGGCCTCGATGGTGACAAAGTTTTCAAAGAAGACATAGTAGATATGGGAGTAGTTCAGGTCGAACAGCTGTTTCAGCTCGGCTGGTTCTGCGTTTTCTGTAGAAACAAAGACATGACTGAGGTTGAACCACTGAACGGACATCAAAACAGACACACTTCACAAACATGACGCTGGAATCTAATAATACGACAGATAAACACTGACAAAAACCTATTTTTACTTGTTAAAAAAAAGCAGAAGTAGAGAAAGTGGTTGAGTAAACACACAGAAACAGAGCAGCTACCAAGGTCCAAGGCAGCGCTGCAGGACCAGCCACCACGTCACTGCGATGGTACCGCCTCGGTGGGCACCATTTTAGGAAACCACTGCCTCTCAAACACGGACATAACCTCCAGGCAACCACGCACCAACCATGACTAATCATATCTAATGTGTTAACGACACTGTCCCGATCGAGGCCTTTGAAGAATCTGTAGAACCTCCTGTGGGCGGAGCAAACCCTGAATAAAAAGACGAGGACGAGCTGTTATAAGGTCACAGGAAGTGATGGTCAAAAGGAGCCCCGGTGTGGCCCAGGTGCGGCCTCGGTGCGGCCTCGGTGCGGCCCAGGTGAGGCGGTGTGGCCCAGGTGTGGCCCCGGTGCAGCCTCGGTGCGGCCCAGGTGTGGCCCAGGTGTGGCCCCGGTGCTTTTCTAAACACACTTGTGTAATGTCACGCCACAGAAGACGGGGCTGACAGAGGTTGACCTTTGACCTCTGCTCAAAATCTCAGTGTCATTTGGATAGAACACGGTGGTCTAACTCTGACACTGAGAATATACAACACACACACACACACACACACACACATTATGAAGGTCTTTGGTTAAAATCCTTTCCCCCCGATCTTTTAACACAAGAACTTTTTTTTAAAAAATCCACTTTTTTCATGTTCACATTATTCTCTTGTCGTAGAGAAACAACATGGCCGACCACACCTGACTCTGTGATTCCAGTCCGGTCACTCTGTCATGTCTTCGAGTGACTCTGGGGTGTTTGGCCCAACTCTAACTAGTTTAACTAGCAGGTGATCGTATGAGTTTTTGTCCTAACCAGTTACAGTTCTCTCAGTGAACTCTGAGTTGTTTTGCTTCTGGTTCATGAACAGAAATATTTAAGTCACTAATCACTCACTAGTTGTGGTTGTCATGACGCTTTCAATCTCTGGGGGGGGGGGGGGGGGGGGGGGGTTTGGGTGGTTAGAAATAATTTGTAAATTTTGTTTTTCTCTACAAAATCAATACAAACAGCTCAGACTGATGTTCGCGCTCAGACAGGTCAGACGTACAGTATCTACACTGTTACATTTCTGGTCTGTATGGAGGGGAGTTCAGGTACCATCAGAAATGACAGAATCTTAAATGTTCACTGCATTTGAAAAGGGTGGAAGTTGTCATTACATCAGGGGTTAATTTAGTCTCAAAATAATGTTGACAAATGTTTTTAGCGCCAAGAGTTTGTGGGACAATAAATAGTTGACGTTAACGTTGAGTTCTTCAGGAGGTTTAACATTTTAACCTTGTTGTAATATAATCATGTTATTACAACATGAACTCTGTGTAAAAAACAAACAAACATGGATGAAAGGAATGACTTTTATTTGTTTTCCACTGTAACGACTCTGACCAATGGAAGCTGTTTCATTGGCTGACATTTGTCAGCAGGTTTCTCTCCAACACTGTTACCAAGCTTTATCAAAATCTGTGGCTCCCAATGGATCACACTGAGGGACACACCCGTGCTGTGTCTCTCCCACACACACACACACACACACACACACACCATGACAGGAACACTCAGAACCAGAAGCTCAGACAATAGAAACAGGAAGCTGGGCTACTGTACAGGACAGAGGGAGGAAATCGTTCAGGCTGTTTCCTCTTCAGCTGGATGTGAGTGACGTACAGACATAAACGCAGGTTTGAACACTGAGCAGAATACATTCAGCCATCACTTATTAATGCCGCACCACTTATGAACACACACTGGTTCACAGACTAGACCAGATTAGGATTAGACAGGAGTATTTGGACAATTACTAACAACGAACTGCTGCTGGTAGTCAAGTGAGAATACGAAGTTTGAACCACAAACAAAATTCTCTTTGAAAGCCCAAATGCTGGATCACTGAGAACACGTTGATACTTTCCTAAAGGGACATTCTGTAACGAGAAGATCGTCAGTTTTACACTGTGTCCCATGAAATCTGGTTCTTTGCTCAGAGCTAAGACTCTTCCAAAAAAAAAAGAGAGAAAAGAAATCACAGCAGCCTGGCTGACCGACACTAACGTCATTCTTCTGTTTGTACATTTCCTTGATCCAACAACCAACAGAAAGATATTTTTACTTCTTTCTGTGTGACACACACACACACACACAGAAATACAAATCACGACAGTCCTGTGAATCAGCAGCAGTAATAATCACACAGAGTTCAGATCATGATTTTTGTCTCCGTTGTTATTCATTTTAAAACAGTGGAATCAGTTACATTCCAGTCAGTCACACCGATGATTATGATGATTCTAATAATCTCTGAATGTTGTCATTTTTGGGAGAAGTTTGGTGTGGCATTACTGACTGGCACAGAGAAGTCCATCTGTCTGACATCGTTTGTTGTTTTGTTTTTGTTTTACTTACCAATGACAATTCTAAGATGTTTGAGCCTCGTCAACACGTCCTTCTTTGGGTCCAACACTTTCTGTGTTGATTTTTTAACGTCCCCATGAGGCTTTTTGGAGAACATTCCTGAGGCAGGAGACACAAGACTGCGGTTACAGACAGCAAAGGAGGAGCTAGCCGTGTAGCCGCTGCGTCCACAGCCACTGCTACTAGTGTAAATCTTATAAACTGTAACGTCAAAGACGCCGATTCACTGGCGCGTTCAATAACGCTGCGGATTAGGGATCCTCCGGGACGGCGCAGGGCACATTGGATGATCTAAACCGTTCCACAGAATGCGCATTCTAGTTAAACCGTGACAAATATGCGAAACGTAGCGGGGCAAAGCATCCATCCGCCGCGCCTCCCTATCACAACAACCAGAAGGCTCAACTGGCTGCTGCTGCTGCTACAGCTAAAGCTACAGCTACTGCTAAAGCTAAAGCTAGCTCCGCCGTTCCCTTAGAAAACATCATGGCGGTTAAAGGAAAACAAAATAACAGACAAATTCAACATTAGAAAAGTACAACAGTAGGTTAATTATGTTTCGTTTTACACATACTACGTTATTTATGTATAATATAAACTGCAACACACACAGACGTTTGTGATTTTATTGGAGTTTTAAAAGACTTCTCGCCAGTTCTAGCGCAACTCTCCGCCCAAGAGTTCACGGTGCATTCTGGGTAGCGTAGTTAGTGCGTGGTTGCTACATCAGAATAGAAGTGATACATAAACTACACTTCCCGGCGAAGAAGTGAGCGCCCATATGTTGTTTTTAGCTTAGCTGAAGTACAAATAACCTGGACGAAGAAAGACGTCGAATTTAGTTTCTCAGAAACCTGTAGAATTTGAAGGTTCTCACAAACGTCCAGCAGCTACAGCGGGTAAGTTATGTTGTAGTTCAAATGTTGTATCCGCACAGCTGTGGAAAAATAAGAACGAACAGACTAACAACAAAGTAACGTGTCAACGTCCGTTCGTACCGTACAGGGTATTGTACTATCAAAGTACTTCATCTGATGAAATGGAGTAATGTGAAGTACTGCGATTGTTTCTACTGTCAAACGGTCGGGGCATCACTCACGCCGTCTTTCCTTTTTCACGTAGCCTTAAACGGTGTGGAAATAATAAGTCATGCCCGTTCACCGTGACCGAGAGAAAAAGGAGAGCACAGCGGAGGAGATGGACGTAGAAGATCAGGAGCAGGAGGCGTCCAGCTCAGAGGAGGAGGACTCCGACACCTCCTCTGTCTCTGAGGACGGGGACAGCTCAGGTGAGGACCGGTGAAACCACCAGAACACGAACGGCTCGTGTTCGTTTAAAGAACGACTGTGACAGGGTTTGTTGAATTAAAGTGTGAAAAATATCTGGATAAATTCTTCTGCTCTGTCACCATGTCTTTATCACCCACACTGGCTAATTGCACCTGACCACAAAGCTCATTAGGGCGCCCCCACTGGACAGTGGTGACTTCAATATATAAAGTACTCATCACAACCACAGGTCTTTCATGGGTTCACTTCCCTTAGCCACTTTAGCTCACACTCTGGCGGTAGTTTTTTTTTGTTTGTTTTGTTTTGTCAAACCTGTTTTCCACAAACCTTTTCCTCCGTTCGTCAGACATTTTTATAATGGACAACATTTGTGATGCACTTCCAGAAATGGACGAGGAGGACTGTGAGCGGAGGAGGACGGAGTGTCTGGATGAAATGTCCAACCTGGAGAAACAGTTCACTGACCTCAAGGACCAGTAAGACTAACATGGAATTTAACAACACATACAGAAACAGGATGTGACGTAGCTGGTCTGTCCCTGCGTCCTGTGTCTTAGTCCTGTTCACAGGTACCATGTTTAGGTACCAGCTGGACTTTAGTCTGGTTTATAACAACTGTAGACCTGGTTTCACTGATCTCTCTTTGGTCCAGACTGTACCGTGAGCGCCTCAGTCAGGTCAACAGTAAGTTGACAGAAGTAGAGGCCGGACGGGCAGCGGAATATCTGGACCCTCTGGCTGTTCTCCTGGAAAACATGCAGGTTCGCACTAAAGTGGCAGGTAATCTGAACACACACACACACACACACACACACACACACACACGTGGCGTTCATATTTTCTTTCTTGGTTGTCGTTGTTAGGAATCTACAAAGACCTGTGTTTGGAGTCTGTGAAGAACAAATACCAGTGTGAGATCCAAGCAGCGTGTCAGCACTGTGAGGTCAGACACACACACACACACACACACACACACACCTAACCCACTGCAGGGACGTAACCCGGGTGACTCGTCGATCAGTTAAACATTGATACAAATCTGTGACAACTCTCATTGGTTGAAATAAAAGCTGACTGGTCCATCAAGGAGTCACTGGTCAGACCATGACACTACACACTCCAGTACACTAGGTGGCAGTGTGCGTACTGTGAACAAAAAAACTGCGACTCGTATTGTGAGCCGACTGTATCGTTACGTCCCTAACCTACAGCGTCTGTAATTGTGACAAAGACTAGTGAACGTTAACTAAGTCTTAACTAAGTCTTAACTAAGTCTTTTCTAACCGACCCGTTTGAACAGAGTGAGAAGCTGCTGCTGTTCGACACAGTCCAGAATGAACTGGAGGAGAAAATCCGAAGACTGGAGGAGGACAGACACAGCATTGACATCACATCAGGTGACACACACACACACACACCACAGGTTTCACGTGAGAACAGAACAGTGCAACGTGGTTCTGCTGTTTCCTGTCAGAGCTGTGGAACGACGAGTTGTCAGGGAGGAAGAAGAGGAGAGACGTTTCGAGTCCAGACAAGAAGAGGAGGCGACCTTCTGTGGTGTCTGATATCCTTCCACTGCCCAGCCCTCTGTTATTGATCGTCAATGTTGACCTCAACCCTCTGTTATTGATCGTCAATGTTG